AACCACATTGACAACTTCATATCCATGTGCAGCGTAATGTGGATCACCATGGGGCTCACACATATACGTCTGTCCTCCCCCATCCACTACGGGCTCACTTAGACTAGGTGACCAACTTACATGATGTCAACACGAAAGCCGACCTTTCACATGCATAAGGTACGTACTCGTCTCCCCTCATCTGACCTTGATCACCTACACACTCACCTCCTTCCCGAAGACCACCGATCGCCCGTCTACCCCCTAACTTCCAGCCGGCCATTACTGGCCCATTAGTAACCGCTCCGCGTTACACTGCAATCACATCCAAGCGCACTTGATCACACCCACGTCCAAGTGCATTTGAAAAATAATGAAAGTTAAAACAACAAATAAAATAATAATAATAAAACCATAATAATCAATAATATTAAAATATCAATGAAAACAAACCAATAATTATAATAGCAAGAATAATAGTAATAAATAATAGTGTATACTGGCTATCTTTCCGGTACAGTACAGTTAGCAAATAGTGAGTCTCGGGATGTTTAAGCAAAGCCGTTGCATAGCTCCGACCCTCCCCCGCTCGTTTCCTTCTTCTCCCTCGCCGCGATTCTCTTCTCCTCCTCTGTGCTATTCTACTCCTCTTCGTAACTAAGATAGAGTCGCTATGATAATAGTAATAATAATAATAGCCACAATAATAATAATAATAATAATAATAATAATAATAATAATAATAATAATAATAATAATGCAAGGAAAACGAGTGATATCGAACTTTAGAAACCAAGCAACATCACACACATGAGACCAGATCGTCGTGAGTCGTGACCTCAAACCAAAAGTAAAGTTGCATCACGAGTCCCACCAAATAAGAGCACATCAAAAGCTCATAAGTGACAATGTTCTAATAGTCTCATCATCATCGACAAAGGATCAATGTCGACATCCTATCTGGAGCTCGACACCCAGACTACAAATAGCAGATCCTATCTAGCCTATCTACAATGTCGCCGATGACGTCAACAACTCCCCGAAGTATGAGCAGATCTCGATCAATGTCATTCGCCTCAAGCACCAGGTATGTCTCACGTATCACTCACAACCTCGACCCCCAACCTACAGATGTCACATGCAGCCAAGAACCACCATGCGCCCCATCCAGCACATAGCAATGTAGCTCGGCTATGGCTTCCTGCTCCTTCTTCTTCTTCTTCTTCTTCTTCTTCTTCTTCTTCTTCTTCTTCTTCTTCTTCTTCTTCTTCTTGCCCATTCCTCTTCCACGCGATCACGTTCTTCCTTGTGTGCACTTCCTCCTCCTGCACCGTACCTGGCTATAATGCCGGCCAGGTTCCATTCAAACGGGGAAAGTCGATCCCCCCCCCCCTCCTCTCTCTTTCGTACTCTCTCTGTGTCTCTTTCTCTCTCTCTCTCTCACACACACACACACACACACACACACACACACACACGCACACACACACACACACACGCACACACATACACACACATGCTCAATCGTATACACACACACACTCGTTCAACCAATTAGACAATGGTGGTAGTGTATATATATGAATATATATATATATATATATCCATATTATATCTGTCGATTTATCTGATTCCGCTCACTCTATCGATAGAAGTAGCAGGGGATTAGCCCGCGGGGTTGGAGCACGCTTACACACACACCTACACGCATGCTAATAGCAGTAGTGTATTTTTCCATGTTCTAGCGGTAGATTCTTATGATTTTTGTCCATCCTATCGTCTGAAGTTCACACATTCAACCATGCGATCACACTCCTATACATTCACATACACACACACACAGTAGTGAATAATTTTTAGATCTAGCGGTAGATTTATTCATTTTCTTTCATCTAATCATAAAGAAGTATAATAGGTAGGCCAGTGGCCATGAGGTAAGAAACTTACCTGGTCATTCCCTCCTTCAGCATCGTCGTCATCATAGTCATCGTCGTCGTCGTCGGCATCGTCGACATAGCCCAATGGGGCCCGCAACCTGGGAACCACCCAAAAGATGTGTAGAGAGTCCCTTGTATCTCAAGTATAAGGCGCCAAAACCCTCGGCCTTGACATCGGGATCGTCGACTGCACGTCAGGTAAGTGTCATCTCCTCCTCCTCCTTCTTCTTCTTCTTTCTCTTCTTCTCCCCCTTCTTCGTGCGCCTTCCTCTTCCACACGACCATCTCCTTCCTCTCTGCATGATGCCTTCCTCCTCGCTGCTTATAATCTTCTACCTTCTCCCCTCCTGCTCGCTCCACTTCCTCTTCATCTTCTTCTTCTTCTTCTTCTACTTCGCGCGTTTCCACTTCTTTCTGCGCGGCTATCTCCATTATTTCCCTGTGCAGCTCTCCCTGGCTTCTTTTCTCCGTAGCGCTCCTCCCACTCCTCTTTGCGTTCCTCCGCCTGCGTGCTGCTACGCACTCGTCATGTTTGTCCATCGAGCACTCAGCCCGAGCCCACGAGCCAAAGTCTCGGGTTGCTACGTCTGGAGTCAAACAGAATCAACAAATTTCGTCGAAACAAATCTGCCCGGATTTCCTATGGAGATTCACTAAAGTGAATCTTCGGAGACTTGGAGTAGCTACGGGATTAATGAGAAAACAAAGAAATAAGAAAAAAGAAAAAAAAAATTATAAAAAACGAATCCAACTATAAACAAATCTAACAGCTAACTACCCATTCACGCCAAGTGTTCGGCCTCTGCTACAGTCGGTTTTGACTACCCAACTAACTCTACTAACTCTTCCACGGAGGTCGCGGGTTCAAGCCCCTGCCAGTCATCTGCAGGGCTAAGTTGAGTTCCTTGCAAAAAGGAGCTAGCTCGGGGTCGGATGGATTCGATTTCCGAGTCACCAGATTCCCAATCTGCACCGAAACCCACTGAGCTAGCTCCTACTTCGAGTAGAAGAGGAGCAGCTCGGGTATATGTAGAGGAGTGGGGCTCAGTCCGCCTGGTGGCCTGAGCCTGTTTTCTAAGTCTGCACGTGTGCACGCCCGCCGGCCTGAGTGCGTATCAGCTTGAACATGTGTGTGACCCGCAAGGGCACTTGGTTGATCGGAAGCCCCGAAGGCCGGTACTTAGCTATGGCCGCAACATTTGAGGGTCGCGGCGGGGAAAACACTCAAGTGGTAGGTAAGTCAGTAGGTACCTCACCAAGTAGAGGTAGATGTGCCGACTACCCGACTTGGAGGCCGAGTAGAGGAAGACAAAAGCTGACATTTTTAGATGCCCAGTACCGGTAGGTAGACAGGTACCATGCCAAGTTTCAGTGTGTGTCGTAGATCTACTCGACACAGTACTAACCCAATCAAC